AAAAAAAAAAAAAAAAAAAGTTATGATATAAGCATCTTGGTAAATATATGAGCTTATTTTCCCCCAAATACAATTTATCATTTTAAAGTAAACACAATAGACCTTTATAATGCATTAATTCTTCTCTTTTGCATTATTCTCAAATGTCTTTCCACAATGACACTCAATAAAACTCTGTTCTTTCCACTAAGTTACGTTCTTCTAATTTCCTTCTCACTGGTGTGTGGTGTCAGATCAGTGTGCATTTTGAGAACAATGAGCCATATCACTTCCAGTATTAAGTCGAGCACCAGGTATTTACGTTCAAACCCCACAAATATTTATTGAGTATTTATTATGTGCCAGATACTGGTCTATGTACTAAGGATGCTTCAGTGAACAAAATACTTAGAAATCCCTGCTTCACAGAGCTTACATCTAGGGTATATCAAATGGTGGTTACATCAGTGGTGACCTCACAGCAGAACGGCGGAGAGGAGGTTTAAGTTTAAATAGACTTGGTGTGGATGTCTCCCTGATGTCAGATTTGCACAGACCTAAAGAAGGCAAAGAAACTGCAGGCAGGTGGATCCCTGAAGTGAGGGTGCTGGATGGAGGGAAGAGGCCTGGTGAGCTTGAGGCAGTGTGGCTGGGAGACAGTGGGGGGAGACACAGAACAGCAGAAGTTCAGGGTAGGGGGGCAGGGCCAGGCCAAGTGTTCGCGGCGGCCATAAGTACTTTGATTTTGCCCAGATTACAATGCAAAACAATTGAAGGGTTCTGAGCAGAGGCATTAAATTATTTTATTTGTATTTTAAAAATACGTGCACATATTACTCCAGCTGCTCTGTTGGAAATAGACTGCTGTGGGGGAGAAAGTGTAGAAGGAAGAGTAAGGGGCTGCTGCTCTTGTCGGGTGAAAGCCGTCGGTGGCTTCAACCAGAATTATGGTGATAGACATGATGAAAATGATCTGAAGGAAAAGTTACCAGGTTGCTGATGGCTTTGATGAAAGTGAAAGAAAAAAAGGAGTCAAAAACAAATCCAAGATTTTTGGTGCTGGTAACAAATAAAAGAGAAGCCCGGAGGAAGCACAGGGGACTGCGGGTGGGAAGTTTAGCTCTAGGATGTTAAACTAGAGCAACCTATCGCACATCCAAGTGGTGATGCCAAATAGGCCGTTGGGTCTAGGACTCTGGAGTTCAGAGAAGGCTACAGAGCGGGGCTGTACAGGCCTAGCTGTCCACTTCTAGAGCAGTGTTTTTCAACCTTTTTTATCTCATGGCACACTTGAACATATAAACTTCTGCACACTCAAATTATGTTGATTTAAAAAAAAAAAGAGTAAAAATGAAACCCAGCAGGTTGTTGGCTCACTCCTGTAATCCCAGCACTCTGGAAGGCCGAGATGGGTAGATCGCCTGAGCTCAGGAGTTCAAGATTAGCCTGAGCAAAAGTGAGACCTCATCTCTACTAAAAATGGAAAAATTAGCCAGGCGTGGGGGCAGGTACCTGTAGTCCCATCCCAGCTACTTGGGAGGCTGAGACAGGAAGATTACTTGAGTCCAGGAGTTGGAGGTTGCTATGAACTATGACATCATGGCACTCTAGCCTAGGCCAAGAGAGACTGTGTCTCAAAACATACAAACAAACTATATATATGTGTGTGTGTGTGTGTGTGTGTCTGTGTATCCTGTTTTGAACTTCTTTCAAAAATGATTTAATTAATGATCTTTAAACCTTTTTGCAGTACACCAGTCAAAAATCACTTCTCTAGAGAGTGTGGAAGGCATAAGAAATGTTGCAGTCACCTGGGAGCAAGATGGCCAGAGAGTGAACCCCAAGGCTCTCCAGAACTACAAGATAAGGCAGGTGAGGAAAAGTTTGTGCAGACCTAGAAGGAGCACGCAGTGAGGTCAGGAGACAGCAGGGAGAGTGCAGTGTCCTGGGAGGTAAATAAGAAACTCTTTCAAGAAGGGAAGTGATAGGACCAGCCCAGCATGTGACTGGATGGGGACAGCATGAAGATTGGTCACTGGCCGTTGAATTAAACAACTTGGTCACTGGTGACCTTGACAAGAGCTGTTTTGGTGGACTGTTGGGGGAAAATGCCTGACTTTGAGTGGGTTCAAGTAAGAACGGAAGTAGGGAATGTTCAGTGCTAAATTAGTTTTAATTGTTTCGACACTCCAGATTTACAACTGGTTCTCTCATTCATAGCCAGTCTTGTTTTTATTATGAAACAGAAAAACAAGCAAATCCTGTTATTCAGTTTGTATTCACAAAACACCTTTTCAAAAATCATTCCTCATGATCCAAATGGAAATAACATGGACAATAACAAAACTATGGCATAAGAAACTCTTCTGTATAGATAATCTCATTTATATAAAGTGTTCTCAAATTTGGGACTTAATACCCTTTCAAAAAGTTATTAGCCATGGAAGGGATAGCATTACCTTCCATGACCAACTTTAAATTTATTTAGCAGCCACCAGCCAACTCTCAGAATAGTTCCTGATTTCTAAAGTAATAGACACAGAAAGCTGCAATGATAGCATTTTGCAGACGGAAGGTCACAATGACAGTTTTACTCTTGTTTCTTTGAGAACTCAAATTTGGAAGGTAAGTCAATTTACTTCTAAAATCTTCTAGGAATTTAGTAATTCTATTATAATCTGCCTTATCTCTACCTGTGCAACCTTCAGATAAACATGACTTACCTACAAGCAGAAAGTCAGACAAGATCTCCAGTGCTACTGGGAAACTTATTCAAGCAAATAACTTTGAAATAATGATTAACCATAGTCATTTCCTCTCTCCACAACAGGTATCTTTGTTAAATTTAGAAGTATACTACATGTTTATGTCGCGTATCTTCCATTATGTCAAAATTCAACACTCATTCCCTTCACTGGGCAAAGTGGTTTCACAGATAGTCTAGAGCTGTCTTGTCTACTGCTGTGCTATACGATCTGAGCCTAAATAGCACATGACCAGAAGGATTTCTTCTATTTTTCCAAACTTCATATGAATTTCTTTGCTTCCACAGGAATCTAGAAAAAGTCCTATGATTCTTGATCTTCTATCCAGCTATTTGTCACTCTTCTCTCAAAGTTTGCTAAATATGGAAATAAGGTAAAGTGGGATGCACAGATTCCCCTCTCTGTAACTGTTTCTGCCTTTGAAGGACTCCTAATATTATCAAGTGAGGAAAAGGGAAAGGTCAGTACCAAGTGGACTGAGAAATTTTCATAATTTCTAAATGTGAAAATTCTTCTCAAAGAAAAAAATATATAAAAAGGTAGCTGTAATTATGAAAATAAATGTAGAAAAGGGGATAAGAAGCCTTTATGTAACCTGTGCATACAAGTACAGGAAGCCAGTCTATTTTCTAGTCACCTTCATTATTTTACAAGAAGGCTTGAGTACAAAGTAATGAGATTGAGTTAGCCAGCTTCACATGACCACCATTCTTATTATCTTGTCGTCACCAAATATAACCAATGTTCCTATAAACTATTAAAGTAAATTAATTATTTAAGGAATAGCTAGATAGAACCTACTGGAAAGAGCTTATATCCTATTAAGAGAGACAGAATCATAAATATATAATTACAATAAAATGTATTTAAAGTATTAACAGATGCATACCACTACTTAAGCTAGTGGTATATACCAAAGAGAAGAAGATAAAAATTTTAAGAAAACTCTGAAAATTGTGTTTTAAGGAAGGGAAAAAATATACACATGCTTTAAAAAGGATTGAAATGTAACATAGGATTAGATTACAGTAGTGTGTTTCCAATATCCTTTTATAAATAAAATATTAAAATTTAGCTGCAACTTATCTTCGAACTCTTTGTAATCTTATGAAGAAAATAATTGCTTAAGACATACATGTTTATAACAGAATCATATAAAACTGAAGAGATAAATATGTTGGATTGGATTCCTGTTCTTACTTTTCTAGAGTAAAATTCCCTTTACTATTAGCATAAATTTCCTTCAGGCTGTATTTTTAAAGACTTGGAATTCATGTGAACTACAACAAGGAAAGAATTTTTTTAAATGAACAAATTCTTTGGTCCACCATGATTTATCTCAGATTGGCAGGTTTCAATGCGTTGCAAAGGTGCATATGTAACTATTGAAAAATGTAAAAATAGGCTTTAAAATAAGAAAACAATTAATATAACTCAAGTAGTCATTCAAAATAACCTAGATTTGTGGGAAAACGTCATGTAAGCCCAGAATCCTCCTTTGTTCACTGCGTGATCAGGTTAACATGGAGCTGCCTCATTCACAGGCTTCCTTCACGAGGATGGGGGAGCTCTTTACAGATTTATGGACTCCTAAGAGATTATAAAGATTCTCTACCTCGTAGGGAGTTGTTGAAAATAATTCATTTTACAGTCACAATATGATTTGTGAAAATATTCTCTAAGATGACTTTCCAGACTCTGAATGTGCTCTTTGTTCCTTCACATATCTTGTATCAGATGAAATTCCTTTTTCTCAACTCCCATAACTTTTACGCACGATGTTTCTGACATCTGGAGAAAATTCTGGATATCAAATTCAGATAACCTGTGTCCATCAAGTGGTCAAAACTGCCACCTGCTGGTCAGGTTTTGAATCTATTTCTCAGTTTTCTTACCACAGTGTGATTCCTTTCTTCAACAGTAAAGATCAACAAGACTTATGGAAAATATTCTTTTAACAAAATTTCACTCTGTCTGGGGTAAAGCAAAACTACCAGCTGGTACACACCTGCCGATGAAATCGTCCCTCTTCCCAGCATCTTTGTCCCAAGCAGTGATATCAAGGATTCCTCCTGTTTCTTCATAGAGATGAAAATCAAACTGTTCCCTCCACTGAGGATTCAGAGTTTTGGGCATAATCTGGAAAACCAAAATTTCATTATGACCTTATAGCTAGCAGCTTTAAAAAAGTAACCTGAAACACTTAATCAAGTGTCTTCTGTTTCAATAAAAGCTGTTTGTGTGGGGAAAAAAGTATCTAAAAAGAGAATGTAAGTGTGGTATCAGAACAAAATGTTCCAGCAATAATGGAACTGGGTCAGTATATCTCCAGCTTCTTTCCTGCATAATGGCTGCATGAACTCTAAAGGATGTGTGCCAAAAATCAAAAGGCACCTCTTGACTATCTTAAATAATAGACGAGAAATACATAGAAAAGGTAAACAGCCTATAAATTAAACAGCTCACTGTGAAATACCAGTATTTGTTTTCTATAAACACATTCACGCCTGAAGACACGACTCATAGAAAGTCAGCTCCTAACAGCAGACGGTGGAGATCCCAGAGCTCCCCACACACTGGAATCCTGAGCTGAGCACAGAAAAAGCAGCCAATGAAGTTCCAAGGAGCAGGAAAAAGTAAGCAGCTCTGGGGTGGTCAGGCAAACTCTTACTTAGATTGCAGCCCTTATGGACTAGTCCCACCTTCTTTTCTTAAGTGACAGGATAGAGTTTATTGACAGAGAGAAAGGCTGAAAGGCATGATAAGCAAAGGAGGGAGAACTGAGCCTCTGACCCTAGAGGTGGGGAATCCAAGGCCCATTCCCATTTTACAGAGAGAGAAAGTGAAACCTAGAGTTTAAGCGACCCTCAGAAGGCTAGTGTGTTTTGATATCTAAACTATAACTCCCAAAGTCTTTAGAGCTTCAGGACTCTTCTCCCAAAACCACATGGCAAACATGTTTGTATATTAATAAATGAATACATGTACATGAGTATACACAGATACATGTGTACATACATATGTGTATATAGAGAGATACTTAGTGTATACACACAACACAAACTGCAATTCTGTCTCTTCAAGTATTCAGATTCAGTATTCAAGTATTCCTGGTAGAACCCATGAGCAAGTGACTGACACGGATGTGTCTCCACATTCCACTCACCATCAGGTTAAGCGACACTCGTATTTGTTTCCCTGTTCTTTCTGTTTAACTGGAGGGTGTGCAGTGGCCTTTTCCCTCTTAAAGTATGACAGAGCTTCTGATGTAAAGAGTTTGAAAGCAATGAAGTATGTTATGTGCAAAAGTAATGCAAATGAATCACAGTTTTTAAAGTTCATGATCTGAAATTAATCAGCAATACATCACGGAAAGAAAGAGCAAAGAGAGACACCTGTCCACAGCTGGATTTTATATTTCATATCTAAAGAGCAGGACTATAATGGTAAGTAACGTTCTCAGCCTGCTAGAACATGGAAATGGTGTTAATTGAGAAAGGAGAAAATAGAAGTGGCCACAGGTACCTGTTTTGGGAATCAATAGCTACATTAAAATATGTTCTTAAGAAGGATGACAGGAAAAAATAGATGGCATTTAATAAATGCTATGACAAGTCAAGTGTCTTGTAATTGGCTCCGATGAATTCCTAGGCATTTGGGGGAGTGGTCTGTCTTACTTATCTGGCCATTTTCAGTAGGATTGCCCTCTCTGTATGATTTCCTTCAGATCAGATGTGGTATCTTCCCTTTCCGTGTGGGCACTCCAGGGGGCCTCCAGCCGGCCTGTTGGCAGCACTCACTGCCCACTAATGGATCTGCTCCGTGATGTTCCTGATTACCTTAAATACTAATGAAAACTTCCTGGACTGGCAGGGACCCAGGCAGGATGGTTATCAAAAACACATAAAAATGATGACACCCAGGCAAAGGAACTCCTATCAAAGTGGAATGTGGTCTTTAATACAGGATGGATGTGATCAGTTGTCCTAAGACATCTGTGAAGGTCTGCAGTAAAACTGACCCATGAAGAGCTCATAGATCAGACATGTCACCAAAATGTAGCTATGACTACTGCTACTAATTGTTACTATTTCTACCACCATATATTGTATTATTTAGCACATTGTTACTACTAGTATAGTAGTAACATACTACCACTGTTGTTCCTCCTTTTCCTTCTGCTATTAACATTTACTGAGTGCTTCTAACACAGGCAAGATGGTGCTCTAGGCATTTACACACATAACTTATGTTCACTTAATCTTCTTGACAATGTTGTTAGGTAGGCCTTATTTTAATTGTCATTTTTACAAGTGGGGAAATTGAGGCAGGGAGAGAGAAAGTAACTTGCCCTATGGCACACTGCTTGTCGTGTTTCCTGAATACATTTTAAAAAATGCAACTCATATTGGTGAAAATCAAGTTGAATAAAATGCCTCAGAGCAAGGCACAAAGAATTTGAAGGTATGTAAAATAATGTCCTTTGCAGGACTGACACCAGCCGGTACTCTCTGAGCACTTTACATGACAGGCAGCAACTATTCTTTTTTTTTTTTTTTGGATTGTGGTTGTTTTTTCAGTCCTCACAGTTATGCCAAGAGATGGTTCCTATTATTATTACTATGTTATAGATGAAGAAATTGAGACGTGGAGAAGTTCAGTAGTTTACCCAAGGCCACCTGCACATAAAGGCAGGACCGCAACCCAACGATGCATGGCGTTCAAAGAAGGTCTATTAAACATTTCAAAAATTATCTACCCATCGATTTTCCCTTTTCCGAAGCACAGTCATCAACTGCATGTTGACAGGAGCACAACAGAGATGTGGCTACCTTGCTCTTGTACTTCTGATGCCCGAGGCGGAACTTCACGTAGGGGTCGCTCAGCCCGTTGGAGTCCATGGCCTTGAGGGCCCGCCCCTCAATCAGGGTGACGCTGACGATCCCTCTCCAGAGGTGGGACTTTCTGTGTAGGTCGGACAGACGTAAACTTTGGGTCTGAAACTTTTGGCAAAGGAAAACTGAGTTAGATTATTGTGTCTTAGACCCAAATACCTCACCTGGCATTACTCTTGCCCCTGTTACAGTTATTCAAAAGAAAAAGAATAAGCTGTTACAATTTTTTAAAAAATAAAAGTTATTTATGGAGTATACTTATTAATTATGACATTGACAAATTATAAAGTTATTTCATGATAACTTGTATTATTTCCTTGTGTAGAAGAGATGACTGCTTGGTACAGTGTACCCTTTCAACTCTTAAAATTGTAAGATGTAGATACTTCAAGAACATCAAAGACTATTTGTATGTTTCTCAAATAAGCCTGTGTCAAAATATGTATAAATGTAGTAAATATCAAAGGCCTCAGTCACACTGTGGGTATTAAACTTTCCACTCCTGTATTTACAGCTTCTGAAGATCTCTTTTTGTTTCACACATGGATTATACAGGTGGTTTTTAGTTGTAAGATTAGTTGCAAGTGGGATTAAGATAATTAAAAACCTTCTTTCTTGTCACATGACTGGGTTTCAGTGATGGGGTTTCAGCTGACCAACTATTTAAAGTGCCACAGAGAAGAAATGAAATCAACATGCCGACCTAAGATGTTTTATTTATGCCTCAAATTTGCATCACAAATATTTAAAATTAATTTTTAAATGATAATGTTGTTTATATTGGCAAGTATGTTTCTGGATTTATTTCACATTCCAGTATTTGAACATTTTATTCAATGATTTTTATTATGTTCAATCCTAAACCACAATATTTAAGCCAGGGAACAAAATTAGACTTTTTAAAAAATTAACAAGTCTACTAAAAATGGACATATACTCTCTTTGAACTAAAGTATATATGAAACAAGCCAGACAGTAGCTAAGTCTTAAAACATTTTCAATATGGATTTAGCATTCAAGTTATTGTTTCTTTCATATTATCAAGCACATTTTTTTCCACTTGTAGTTATTTTATGAAGTACACTTCTGAATTATAGGTTAGCCCTACTTTCTGGCTAATCCCTTCTATGATATGATACACTAATGGTATAAAGCCATAGCTGATTTTGTATAACTCCCGCTCCCACTGTGACTTCCCACCTTTCCACAGCATAGGAAGGCCATTGTCATTTTTTATCTGTCATCATCAAAATTGAGGCATTGCAGGGTGTTTTATGAGGAAAATGAAAAGACAGTCCTTCTCATATTTGAACATCCAGTAATAATCATTCTGAATTACATTGCACATTCCCCTGCCTTGGGGAGCAGAGCATCTGACATCTTGGTGGCTCTGCAGCGTTACCGTCAACACAGGACTCTGCCTACACACTCCCCTCTGTGAGCTTCAAAAGCAGTGTGTTCTCAAGCTGTCCAGGTGTGTTCTGAGGTGCAAGGGAGACTTTGTGGAGAGCCCACAAGTTCCCCAGAACGCCATGCCCACTTCAGCCGGGACTCCTCTGCCCCCATCTTTATATTGGTTTCCACACTGGATTTTGTTTGAACCAAGGGCTTCTCACATCCAAATCATTGTTTAGAAGCCATTGAATTGAATGGTGGCCAGGTCTTTTTTAGTTTCATGCTACTTATTATTATATGACACAGCAATGGATTTTGGTGTGTGATTGTGTGATTCAACCACTTTGATGTTGTTGAAACTGCCTCTACCAGCAAACTCCCAATCAGATTCTAAACGTTCAATCAGAAAGCTTTATTAAGTAAAATGAGCAGCAAAGAAGGAAAGAAAGAAAACAAATAACTTCGCAAGAAAAAATAATTTGTTTAGCAAAGGCCAAGGGGTTAATGGCTGTCCATTTATACAGAGCTGAGAATTCAAAAGGGTGTCTGTGTACATTATATCATTTAGTTTCCACCAAAACTCTAGGAAGTAGCAAGGCGAGGCCTTTTACTGATGACAGACTTGATTCTTAGAGTGGTTGGGCTTATAAATGGTGGATGTGTAACTAGAACTCCAGTATTTCTGACCTTGATTCTGACCTTCTCCCAAGATACATGTTTAAGGCAGACACGCTCTCATAGGTTTAAAGGTAATCATGATTTAAATATGATGTTGCCAAAGGGTAGTCTCCAGTTAAGTGGGTTGGTTATATTTGAAATATATTCTAGTATAAATTTTCCTACATGGCTATTTCAGGAAATTACCTATTCCACAAGTACATGTATATTTATAACATTTCAGCTTATTGAAGAATATACTTAATGCTATTTTCTATGCACTCTTTAGAAGCCATCAAACGTTAGGTGGGTATAATTAGGTGCTCAGCGTCTTCATCAGCAGCACTAGGCTGGTGTCTTTGATAAGATATGTCTTCACCATATCTGAAACCCTTTCTTGCTTGCCCCTCCTCCTTTTATTCCCCCCACAAAAGAACATGACCTTCACTTGCAGGTAAGGAAGGAGGAAGACTGCTTTCCAAGGCATCCTTCATGCTTTCACCAAATAAAATGACCTTAATGGATGCTTTGCCTGCTGTCATTAGTTGTCATGAAATGCTTTTCTATAGTCTGCAAGAACATTTCCAAAACAACCTGCGAATCTAAGAGGGAGGAGGAAAGAGAGGATTTCTTTACAAAAACAGGGCTAATGCATGTGAGAATTAAGGTGACCTATGCAAAAAGTTAAGAAGAAGAAGGAAAGGAAAAAAGGCTTTGAGACGTTATTAAGATTTTTAAAAGTACCTTTTTCTTTATTAACAATTATTCTAAATGGGGCTTCACTAAAAAGAAACCCCATAATTCAGCGGTCAATTTTATTGAGTAACTGCATAGTCATGGGACAGACAGTCTAAGTGTGAACAGAAACGTGAAGCAAAATCCCAGGTCTGGTGGAGAGGAGACGCCCGCAGACAGGCACAGGTGCTCCTCACACCTCGTAGCGGCCCCAAAAAGGACGACCTAGCTCACCTAGGAGAGTCATTTATTACTTTTATGTATTTTAAAATCGAGGTCCTAGGGAGCTCACTGAAGTGTGGAGATGAGAATTTCATAGGTAAAAGAGACTTTGAGAACCAGTGACTCTGATGCTCTCCCATGTACCTTCTGGGTTGCTTCTCTGTTTAGAAGTTTCCTTCCTCTGTGCAGCCATGTGTGGGCCACAAACCAGCAGCAGTGACACCACCTGGGACCTTGTGAGAAATTCAGACCCTTGGGCCATCCCAACCAACAGCTTCTGGTCTAACCATCGCCCAGGAGCTTCTGATACACACACGTGTGAGGGCTCTTTCTTTAAATGTTATACAGTGTTACACACTCGCCTTCCCCTGTGTTCTGATACCTATTATTAATATAATCGCAAACATTATCCACTTTCCAGCACAGACATTATTTATATTACCTGAAGACCTTCCTTAGTCTTGCCTCTAAATTTACTACCAGGAAAACAGATTAGTCTGGATATTTGGGTCATTTAAAGGAGAAGTGGGAACCTACTGAACAACTGTAAGAACTTTAAATTATGTTCTTCCATTATTAATTTTTTCTCATAGGATATACTTAAATAATATGTATTTATTAAAGTTGATAATCACTCAACCAGAAATCATTTATTGAACACCTAAAAGGCAAAGAGTATTAAACAAATCCAAGATCTCCCTTAATAAACCAGCACTGGTTCTCAGTTGCCTGGGGCCATGCCCCAGTCAGGCCCTTGTTGAATCAGAACTCCCTCTGAGAGAAGAATAAATAGAAAAACCAATCCAGTTTCAAAGCAAAGAAACAAGTCCACAAAAGGAAGGAATAATTTTTGAACTTGTTTGTTTTTCCACAGTTTTTTTTTTTTTTTGGCCAGGGCTGGGTTTGAACCTACCACCTCCAGTATATGAAGCCAGGCACTGCCCTTTGAGCCATAGGCACTGCCCTAATTTTTGAACTTTTAAGGCAGTAGTTCTCAAATTTTAGCAGTCAATATATTGAAATTGCTGGGCCTAATCCTCCTGAATGTGGAGGCCAGGTCTGTATCTTAACACACGCCCCATAGAACCCTCATACCCAATGAGGTTTGAGATGCCCTCATATCAGCAAGATGCATCCCAGTTCAAAATTAATAAAGAATATCAAGATACCAGGTAATAAAGAAAGTGCAAACTCTGAAACAATTAGTCAATAACATGTATCATTAGTTAGATTTTAGAAATAATAGGCAGGCATTTAAAAGAGAGTATTATTTTAGTACTGTTACTCCTTGAGAGAGAATTCAAGATGATGATACCTTTTCCTACATATAAGATAGGTTAGGGTAGGGAACGGGTAAGTTGGCCTTCAGAGTTCACAGTTCATGCAAGCATAGAAAAAAATAAATGAACTGAATGGTTGAACTTACTTGTATGTTTTGGCAATAAGGACTCTGAAGCTCTGCTCTGCACAAGCCCAGCACAGGGAGAACAGGCCTGCCACGTGTCTGGATGAAAATGAATAATCAGAACCATCTGGAAAAACTTTGTGCTACTCTTCACCCCCCAGTTTGATCAGGATTTGGAACTGCTTAGTATTTGAAAACAGATATGTACTTGTTCCTCAAATCGCTGTCAGAGAGTGCCTTGCAGTTCAGAAGATAAACGCCAATGCAATGCTATGGTTTCCACTGCCACCTTCCTCAGCAGAATGACGCAGTGGGCAGGAAAATAAAGCCCAGAGGTTATATGGCCATGGAGGCTGCTTAAGTGGTTTTGAGTTTTTGTTAATAGGTATATCACAGGTGAGAAACAAAGTGAGGGAAATCATGGAAAGAGTTATTTTTCCAAGTCTGCTGCATCAATTTTTTTGGAGATTTTTATAATGTTAAAAGAAGGGATGAGTCTCCAGAAGAATAAGTGTTACATGGGCAGGGAATAGCTGCGATCATATTAACCTTGCATCCTACCTGTAAATCTTTCAAATGATTAAAGAGATATCACCTAAAATAATAGAGAAACTGGTCCCACGTTACCTTCCCTTTGAACAGGGAACTTACTTGCATGTTTTGGCAATAAGGACTCTGAAGCTCTGCTCTGCACAAGCCCAGCACAGGAAGAACAGGCTCTGCTACCAAAATGCAACCTAAAGATCCCTTCACTTTAAGACCAAGAGCAGCAAGAGATGGATTAAGAAGATACAGCAGAACTAGAAATTCTAGAAGGAAAGTATCATGGTGGAGTTGAGAGTCTGTCTTGAAGGTCTTTAGAGCAGCTGGAGGAAGTGTCTGAAGGGCAGGGTAATGGTAAGAGCCGTCAACTTTAATATTAATTGCATGAGCAGGGAGGATGGGCCCTGGACAGTCTGAAGGATGTGCTAGATCACACAAAAAGAAGGAAAGATTTATTAAACAGGCATCACATGCTACATTTTCATATTTTAGTGTTTTTCATGACAGAAGAAGGTAAAGAAAGAAGGCACAGAGAAGATAAACAACCCCACTCAAAACCAAATGGCTAGAGACTGGGATTTGGGTCTGAGCTGCTAACATGTGATCCTTGATTTTCCCCATGACATCTCATTTATTTTTGGACAGAGACTAAGAAGTTCATGGTACCAAAAAAAAGGGGTGGGGGAATTAATTGGTAAAGGATTTTTCAGATTAATTTTTTTGGATGCAGTGTATACCTGCATATATAGATTACTGAGAAAGGCTAATAAGGGGCTTAGAGGAAGCAAACGTAGGCAGGTGGTGGTGACCCCAGCATGTGATGTTCAGTAAAGCACAGAGAGTTAACTTTACCTCTATAGTAAATTATAGCCTAATAGCTAATAATAATTTGATGAAGTTGTAGAATCCAGCACATAAATGGAGAACACTTCTCCTATTTCAATTCCAGTCAATAAAGTTTACTAATTCCATTCCTTGGAAAACTAAATCATTAATAATAGGATGTATCCACCTAGACCCTGATTTAAAAACAGATCAAAATCAAAAAACCTATTTAGATTTAACTTGTGACTAAGGGAACATAGTTCTACCAATCCTGTCCTTGTTACGTACAAAATAACCCTTGGCTTTTGTTATCCTGGATATTATCATGAGTATCTAATCCTTCCAAATGACACCCAGACACTGAAACTGCAGTGACAGACATTGCTGTGTGTGACAATAAGCTGTGTGTGGAGGCAGCTCTTTTCTCCATTGTCAGCACAGGGTGCATGTGCTTTTATTTAATCAAATGATCCCTGAGACACTACAAAGGAGAGATAATGACAGCCTAGAATGACTGTTTTGTGCTGCAAAGACCAGAGTGTGGAGCAATTACTAGCTTAATCCGAGGCATAGGCATGATCTATCTTTTCCTTTCCCTGCTGAGTTTACTCCAGTGAATTGTACCTGGAGGATAAAGCCCAACGCGGGCATTTGTTCTGTAGTCTATCCACCCTCTCAAGACACGATTGCTTTTACAGAAAACCTCCCGGAGCTTTGCGCAACCCAGTTTGAAGTGTCTCATCTAATAATAAAGCTTTGATACCTTTTTTTCTTAGAAGACGGTTTACTGACACCATAATCCTTAGAGAAATTCTTCTGGTTTTTATCCTTAAATTTTCTTTTGTATTTCTATTGCTTCTGGATATAACTTATGGTGCCTGGAAGTTATTTATGCTCACATAAGATGTTTTAACTGTCCTCTCTGACTCTAATGGTGGCCAAACCAAAGTTCTTAAGCATTTACTAGGTGCAAAATAAACGGTAATAAAAAAAGTCCTCAGATATATTTGATCTGATGGGTTTACTAAAATAATTTACAGATTTCTACCACTAATAAGGGAAAGGAATCATAGTCCTAGGTTTAACTTACAGGGACCTTTAGTCTTGAGACTTTTAATTAAAAGTTGCACATATTTTGAAGTCTTATTTTCATACCTAAAAGTGTCAATAGTTCCTGAGCTCTTTTTGGATACCCATAGATTACGCACAGTTGAGTTGCTGGGCAGGTAAGCACTTCACGGAGGGTCACCTTCTCATCTCACCAAGTCTGGAACTCTTCTCAGTGTTTTCCTTCAACCACACTTATGCCAGATCCAACTAGAAGGCAGCCCCTAAGGGAACTTCCAAATGTTCTGCTTTTTTCTATGTAGGCTTTTTTGCCTTTTCTCCATTTTTGTATGAAGTATCTTGGCATATTCCAGCCTTTTCCATTTAAAAAAAATAACATTTCTAAGTGGGGCACAGTGGCATATGCCTGTAATCCTAGCACTCTGAAAGGCTGAGGCAGGTAGATTGCTTGAGCTGAGGAATTCAAGACCAGTCTGAGCAAAAGCAAGACTCTGTTTCTAAAATGAGCCAGGTGTGGTGGCAGGTGCTTGTAGTCTCAGCTACTCTGGAGGCTGATACAAGAGTTTGCGTTTGCTGTGAGCTATGATGCCATGGCACTCTACCTTGGGCAATTAAAAAAAATAACATTTCTCTTTGTTCACCATAATATTCTTCACGTTTGTTCAATTAATTCTGTTATCAGAGTCTGGATATCAACTCAATGGAGATTACTAAGAAGAAACTTAAGCATGCTAAATATTTGAAAGAACTGCACTAAGTTGGCACCAATTCATGGGAAGCTAAAGTATTTAATAAAATTCTGATTTAATTATAGTAATCTGATTTGATTTCACATAATTTTTATGGTTTTCATGGGAAGCATGGTTATTGCCAGATCAGATGCTTAAGGTTTTGTATCCTAAGATGGTATTTGGATGAATTATAAATGCTATGCATTTGGAAAGTTAGAGTATCTCTGTATCAGTTAAGTTCTTCATTATTTCACTCTCAAGAGAATTAAGATCTAACAAGTGGGGCTGACTTACAGCCACAAGCTCGCACTAGGATGCAGTCTCACCCGTGTGGATCAGCTGCTTTCTCCTGGACATGTGTCTTGATCCTTACAAATCCCAATAAGAATTTCTCTCAAATCACATCCTATTTAGTCCACAAAGCACATGGACACTCTTCATGCACGTTTTTTTCTGAGCTATTTAGCTTTTGCACATATCTAAAAATATTCATGGGTAACCTCCTTCCATATACATCTGTAGAATAACAATATTGTTTGGGTACAAAGCAATGACATTGGTTATCAGAGTGACCTATGCAAGATGATATTCATCCAAAGTAGACTGGTCACTGTTTTTTTGATTTTGTAAATGGGACATCAAGCACAGCAACCTCACAGCTCTCAAACACATCTGTCCATTCGTGGCTTACAGAGCCACTGAAGAAAAGGGTGATATAATGGAAGAATTTAAAAGGGTCTTGAAAAAGAAAAAAGACTAAGGAGCAGCTCTAATTATAAATGACATCTCTATTCCCCATCAATCCAAAGAGGACTACACTGCTTTAAGTTCTTCAGAACATCTACTTCTATGGCATTCAGAGAGGGAGAAATATTGGTCCTGATCATACCATATGGGTACCTCAGGGCAACGACATCAATTTTCTGGGCCTTCATTTCCTCATTGGTAAAATAAATGACCCCTAAATGTTCTGCCTTTCTGACTCAATTAATTTGTCAATTGTTTGTTGTCATATACCAAGGAAAAAATGTTACCACTGTACCTTAGATTCAAAAATCTTTTTTTGTACTTACATATCTATTATTCTAAAACCAGACAGTTCAAGATTTTGAGAAAGATTATTAAAGAATATTTAAGGATGACAACCCAGTGGGAAGTACTCATAAGTGGGAAACTAATTTGGAAGTTGCAAAGTGGAAAGAAGATGTCGAGGGAGCTCGTGGAGAGGGAAACCTTTGAAAAGAATTAATTATGGAGTTGGCCCTGGTGACAACTCTTCAGTAGCAATGACCAGTCTGAACATGGCTGTACATGGAGCAAACTAGACACAGAACACCCCTAAAATGCTGCTCTCAAAAAAGTATGCTGTATGAATTCACCATGTTTGTGGGGCTTAAGAAAATGGTGAACAAAATTTTGGATAAAGCCATTTTCCACTTAAGATCAGGGAACAATGTAAAATCAATCTTCCTGTGTGTTTATGGAAAATACGTAACCATACAAAGAGGAATTATTGTTATCTAAGCATAGATGCAGAGTGAGTTCAGTGCAGGCAGCCATACGGTAAACCAAAATGCAATGAAGACACTGTATAATTAAAATAAGCTTACAACAGTAAAAGCCTGCAAAAAAATAAATCTGTTGGAGCAGGCGGGTTGAATAGACGTGGCTTCCATTTGTTCCCTGGTCAATACAAGATTAAATTCAGTACCTGCCAGTCTGCTTAAGAGACACTACAATAAATCTTAACATTCTAATGAAAAAGGCAGTTTTCGATCATGAGCATGAGAGTTCTCATGAGTTTGAGAACTAAGAAAGGAAAATGGCCAGGCCCTAAGAGAACCATTTTCATTGCACTATTGATTGCTACCTAATCATATACCAAGTGTGAATTTTCAAAGAAAGAGGGAGACTTTTAAAGGCAAAGCAGCAAGTGCATTAGTAACAAATCATGCTCTGTAGAATGCAGAATGATAGCCAAGAAAAAAAATGGATGAGAAAGGTCACTATGCTGAAGTCACTGAAGATTGAATTAAATTGCAATGGCATTTAAGACAAATTATCTGTGAAATTTTCATTTTTGTTTACTTAAATCAAAAGTAGAGTTGCTGTTTTCTAAATTGTAGGATTTCTTTTCAAGAAAAGATCACTGATCATCTAGTACATACTTAGTATATATATCTATCATAAATCATTATAACAGAAGTAAATTTTTCCCAAACAGAAATGGAAAAGAAAATAATCCTATTTTACAAGGATTGGGAGAAGCTTTACTAGACCTTTTAGACATCACCATCACATTCCGGGAAGGTTCTTGGGCCTATTCAGAATTTTGAATAAACTTGATCCCATCAAGAACTGAGTTTAAGGAAATGTTAAACACATGAAGTTCTTTGCAAATGAAGAAATAAGAGTCAGTTACCTAGATGATTGTAATAAAAATTAATGAGGAGGACAAATGAATACATCTATTTGGGAACCTAATAAAAAAGTGAATTTCTCACTTTCCATTTAACTTTCAAAACTACTGTCCAGAAGTAAAATTCAAGAATATAAAAGGTTTAGACTTTACCCTCCAAAAGAAAGACTTCCCAGAGAAATAAGATCCAACCACTTCATTTTCTGAGAGTTCCTAAAAACAAACAAATTATTTAGCTAAATGTTAAGATGTTACTAAGAATAATTAGTATTCTAAATCAAAATAAATAAAATCAAAGCAAGTAACCCCCCCCCAAATTATATATCCTAAAAATACTTGAGATATGTGGAAAATGTAAGTTTTCTTCCCTTGGATAAATTAAGGTTTTTGTCTTATTCATCTCTGACATCAGTGGTAGTAAGTTGTGAGGGGATTATTTCAATAATTTTTTTGTTTATTAAGTCATTCATACATATATCATAAGTACATTTATGCCATTATGGATTTCAATGTGTTGATTATTTGTACAAATTGGATTGCTTACATCCTACTAATCAATATAGCCTTCACCTCATTTACCCAATTACAGGAGTACTTACCTCTTTATAATTAATAGTTTGTTAATGTATCTCAGAGTCTAATGTTTCATTATAGAAATTAGAACTGTTTAAGCAGATTTTAAGATTTTGAAATGAAGCAGGTAGTATCTGTTACTTTAACAAAAAGAGTGTATTAAACATGGGCCTTCAGAGCATTTTAAAAGAATGATTATAGAAGTCTTATTACATAAACATTTACCTATTTAAATTTGGTTACATTTTATGGCTTAAAATTCTGTATTCCTCCTAGGAGTAAAGTTCTTAATTTTATGATAAACTAGAGTATAACACAATATAAATGACTTAGTTAGCTTTGAGCTCACCAAAAATAATTTTTAAAAAATGAACACTAAGAGAGGTCGGGTTAAAAACAAAGCAATGAATTCAAGTTGGATATTTTATTACTTAATGCTCTCAGACATTAACGAAATGAAACCAAGTTAACTTTCAGAAATAAAAAAAAATCGTTAACCACTTTAAAACACAACATCTAAATCACACTCTTCCTTTAAACCTGAAAGTTTTGCATCCTGTCTGAGTGTCAGTTCTGGAAAACTGATGACAGTCCTGGGAAAGCATCAGTCTTTGTCTCTGGGATGAAGAGGAAGCAGTTTGCGACTTCCTTGATTATTCTGTGTGTTTGTGTTAGGGATTACGACTGCACCCAATGCACGATAGGTGCTTAGCAAATATGTGCTGATTGACGGTAAGTCACTCCGAGTGACATGTAGTTAAAGACTTATATTCCTTCCAAACATGATACCAAAAATCATATTAGGAAATAATAGTGAGCCAAAATATTGCCAGGTGTTCAGCAGTTTAAATAATCCGAGTTAGGCCTAGAATTACATCAGAGATTGTCTATGCAAGCTACCTGCGCTTTTCACATGAAATCTGTCTCTTAACTAAACCAATTACATTTTCCCAAGTCACCCGCCTATGGTTTGGTCAGGTAATCTGACTAAGGTCAGAGGTCACTGGGAAAAAATCTTGCATTTAAGACATTGTTCTACCATCACCACAAGGTTGTGATTTGTTTACATTTATACCTTTGCTTTTCCTCTGTCACACGTGACACATTCTCACATCCGTTTCTAAAGAGAGAAGCTGTTTTCCTTAAAAAAAAATAAAGCTGACATTTAGACACTGGGGCACAAATCTTAAGGGGAATGACTGCAGTATTTGTTTGATGCTATACTATTTTTTAACTCAATGAACCCCATTCTGAACTTTAGAAAAGGTACATGTTTTTCTTTTCAGTTGTGAATTCTGTTCACTTTGATTTAAAACTCTTTTTAAATTAAACAGCATTTTTAACAACACGTGGGAAAATTATTTATCATAGTAAAAGTTAGTGCTTGAATTATCCATATACAAACAATTTCTCTTTGTATAACTTGAGTCATAGCAAAAGGTATGTAACTAGGAGAGTTTTACCTCAATGCAGACATGTGAAGGCAGCTTTAATGAGATGAAAGCTTTGGCTCCAGATCTAAGATAGTTAACAAATAATGTTAACATGGATTAAACATCAAATGGCCATTTAATGTTTACATGGATTATCAGTTTATTGTTTGGATAGTCTGGGGTGACTGATATTGAAGCTGCACAAACTCTATACTTTCCAATCTTCCTCAGATAAATGCAGAGCCTCCTAACCTAATTATGTGCCAAACATGCAAAGAGAAAGGAGATTTGCACATTTTAGGGGTGGGGGGATTTTAACTATCAAGATTTAGGACTTAGGTTTCTCTGTTAAAATTTGAGAAACAAAAAATATCACTCACATTGGATCCCTTGAAGTCCCTGAGCTGAGCTTCCGTGTCATGTTTAATTACTTCTGTCGTTGATCAACCAAAATTTATATTTCACTGACGACCCATATTCTTGTGTACTTTAGGCCTTTATTTCAAGTGAAACAGTTTAATTTTCTTGTGAACTCTTGTGCCATTTATTGGTCTGTGTAAGTATGAAATTTATAACAGACCAGCCAAGGCCTTGCTTTCACTAAAGTTTCTAATGACGGCAATAGTAATAATCAAACATCCTCAGAAAAGTGGTGATTTTATTATGGAGGTCAGGAAAAGCAGCATGAACTATTAATGACTTCCAGAGAACATCTCTCTTGGACCATGGTCACACATACTTGTTACATCTTAATCTTCTTCAAGACACATATTAAGTGAGAAAAAGTGCCATTTTAAAAGTGCTAAGATTATAACATAATGCAAAAGGAACGAGAATAATAAACAGAGACAACAAACTGATACAGGAAAATTATCAAAGTTATTCTGAATAATGAATTGCTTACTGACACTTCTAATTGATGAAAGTAATGAATCCATTGAGAATTGTATTTATTTCTATTTTTGCCTCCAAAAATCTAACACATACTAAGAAAATTTTTTCTCCAAGATAAGAATACTAAATATGAATTGAAAAATTAAACAGATTTTAAACTAAAAAAATCTAGATGATAATTTCTTTTCCTCAGGTAAAAGAAACTAAACCACAGAGGTTTTTTTTTTTTTTATTCTAACAATTAATATAAAAGCTATTTTTCAGCCAGCTACATAAAATAAATCAGAAATCTTTAAGGACTTTTTCATCAGTGGAACAATAATAAACCACCACATTCTTACTCAAAATGATATTTTTAAATTGCCCTTAATGTTTACAGGGCTTTAATCAGATTATTATAGTTCAGCAATTCTTCAACACTTGAAACATTAAAAATAGATTTGAAATTGTGTAGCCTGAGATGCAAATATAAGAGTGAAGTTAGCCAGCATTACTCATTCCAGAGGCATATTTTCATAGGAGCACTATTCCCTTTCACCAATACCTTTTGGCCATTTAAGATATTAAAAAATAAGCAAATACACAAATAAATCCTTTACATAAGCTTTCCTTGTCAGACTATAATCGCTGTTCATCACAGCCATTGCTCATGGATGCTTCCATCCTATCAATCAGGATGACTCAGGATACTGACTAAACCTACAAAAGTCACGTCATCTGCGCTTTGGAAGCAGGATCCTCACAACATTAATCACAACTGTTTTCACTATGGACATTCAGAGTTAAAACCAAAAAATCTCCTCCACGTAGCTCTCAGTTTAACATCTGTTTGTCCATCCCATCCATCCATTCATCCAACTATCACTGACTTATCATCTATCTATCTGCAAACCAGCCCTTAGTTCTATTATCCTAGCTGCCTGTTACATTAGTTCTCTCCTTTTGATCAGCTCAGAAAGGGCCTTAGGAGACCAGTTGGCTCACTTTGTAACACATGCCAGCAATGTGAAGGCTAGTCGACCACCACACGATAAACATCACTGACCTGGGACTCAGGGGCTGTGGAGTCCGTCCTTTGCTTAAGATTATATTCCATGCTTTCACTCTGTGCCAGCTGATTCAGATTTGACCCCACAATATTTAAAAAATTCAACAAGTGAAGTCCAAGAAATGCAATGCCATTGCTATAGCAAATCCCTATAGTTATGAATTATAATTCTACTTAAACATGAACAATATCATATGCCCTTGGGGAAATATTGTCAAAAGAGCAAGAAAAAAATTACTTCAATACATAAAATTTAATTGTGATTCCATGTGTTTTGTAGGATAATAAATACTGGCATTATAATATCTCAGTTTTAAACAAACTTATTACATATTTCAGGACTTTTGTTAGCTGGAATCAAAATATACTCTTTTAAAATAGAAATACTCATTGCTGTTAACCATTTATTATTGCATTTTGGAATGTCAGAAGTCTTAACTACCAGTTTGACTTCATGGCACTTCCAGGTAACACAGATTTGGAAGGACAGATAATGTCAAGGTAATGATGTTTTAAAGGAATTTTATGTTTCCTTCAAAAACATTAAGCATATCATTCTTCAAAGACAAATGCATAGTAATTAGAAATGTAGCACTGAAAAAAAGTCATTTTGGTCACTCACAGTTGCAAGTCTAAGATCAAAAAAGTTGTAATTTTTTGCAGTTTAAATAAAAATTCATCTGTTTATTATAAAAATATGAAGTCTTTATAGAAAGACGGCCCCAATAATTGTTAAATAATGACTATTTTTCATTATGTCTGTGTGAGGTGTATTAAAGAAGTGCCGATCTGTGTCTCCACTGTTATTGAAATTAAAGCACTGAGAGGTTTGTGCATTTTAAAGTGCCATCCAAGGTGTCAGGTCTAACTACTACGCCTCACAAACTCATAGAGCTGGAAGTGTTCTCTAGTTTAAATTAGTAAGGTCCTTGCTAAAAGTCTTATTAAAAATTGCTTCATTTAACCAATGAATAAAGTGTTTTATAGTTCATTAAAATTATGCTAAGTGATTATAATAAAATCTTTCTTAAAAGATGTATTTAAAAAAGGTAGGAGCCATCAGATAACAGAGGGCATGATAAGGAGATACCACCACAGTCATCTATCTTGTATTTTTCAAAGGATGAACTCTTCTTAAAGAAAATAATTCTAAACTGTTACTGTTGAGGATATGAATTACAAAGTGCATATCTTTATGTTACCACAAAAATATTTCCCATATAATTGAAGTAATTTATTAGAAGTGCATAAGTTCATTATCTCACCTTTCCCCATTGATAAACTCATTCTTGTAGATTAAAACACATACACACACCCCATGGTGCCAAATTATAACTGCTTACTGTCTGATAGAGCCTTATTTCATTATTTTTTTCCATTTTTGATTGGACTCCACATAATTTATTCACAAAACACATATAAATCTTCTCTTTTGAGCTCACGAAACTTTCTTGGTGAATAATTTAAACTTAGAATAAATTATCAGTTGATAAGCTTTTTCTAAAGAATAAAATATTATAATAACTCAATGCATTATCATTTCTCTACCAAAATGCATTTTGTCACATAACTGTACCCCTTTGACCTGAATAATTTCTCTGTTGCCCAAGTTTACAGAGACATTGATCCCCTCTTCTTAAAATAACATTCTTCTACAATAGCTGAATGTGGGCAGAATTTAAAATGTGCATGATGCCTGCGGGAAAACCAGAGTGTTTTAAAGGATATTTCCATCCCTAGAGGAGGAGATATAATGGAATTTGTAACCATTTAATGGTTTATACACCACTCTAATAGAGTACATGTTTTATATATTCTTGCTTTCAGAGATAAGTTCATGTGCATTTTTCCTCCTACATGTTACTAGGCGATAACATAATTACCCCCCACATAATCCATATGTTGATCCTGAACAGCAGTCATGACTTCCCTGTCCTCAGCCTGGCTATTCTGTCCTGATTTCAATAGTAAGTAAACCTCACAGTGGGTGAGTACTACAGATAGTAAGACTCCCCCTGAAAACAACCTGTCATTGGCAGAAGTACGACAACAAAAATACGGAAAGAAATCTTATCCCAGAAAGTCAAGATGACAGAATGATGAGCAGATATTTAAGTCACGGGGAATTCCAAGAGCTGATTCACCTTGGATTCAGGAAGACGTGTATTAATAAAAATAACTGTGTCAATTTAGGCATCTCCCTCTGTAGTTACATTACCTCAGAAAGAAACCAAGTAAATAAAGAAAAACTCCATGTTGGAGAGAACCACCACCAACGTTATCTGGCTGTCTTTGAGTCTTTGCTATAAAGTTTATAATTCTCAGACTTTATATTCTCTGTTGGTGAAAGACAGGCTGCTTGTCAGGAGACTTCATTCTGGAAATCAGGATTCCAAAGTAGAAATGATCTATGTTTATATAAAACACGTGCCTTTGACTTTGAGCGTCGTTATATCACTTTATTAACACCTTTATGAAACACCTGTACTCAAATGTAAGGTGCATAAATTCCTTACTCAGGAGGCAAAGGTAAGGTGAGGCAAATTCCTTACTCAGACAAGAATCTTTAAGAAGATATTTCATAATTAGAAAAGGGTTGCAAAATAGTAATATAGCAAAACTTAGAAAAGTACAGTGCAGTCACATGTGCTTTATTTCCCAGAAAGCACCATTTACTGGAGGAAAGGATTCAGGGAGCAGTTTTGACTTAGAAGTGTGTGTGAAGGATAGTGAGTAGGTAGCAAATGAAATGTCAGACTTCCCCTGGATTTTGCATTCAACACTGTGCTCTTGTAACACTAGTATGGATGAACACAGTAAATGTTTTAGGGCACAGGGAAAATGTGAATGAATTGGCTGGCATTCAGTATGCTCCCACGGAAAAAAAATCAAATGAATGGACTGATTTTACTTTACTAAGCATTCAATATCCCCATTAAATTTTCAAAATTGAAAATCCCTTTGGCTAAAACCCAAAGCCATGTTAACACATGTACCAAGTACAATCTTCCTAGTACTCAGGTAAGTGCTGAATTAGACCCAGGAATTCTGTATCTTCAGTGGAAGCTTGAAAACTGTATCAATGTGAATGAATTAGGTGTATTATTAATAATAAATAAAAATTCCAAGAATTTTACATAGAAAAATAGTAGAGGATAGATGGAAGACTTTTAGTTAATTTATCTTTAAAATAAAATTTAAATTAAATTTAAATGTAAATTAAATGTATTTTTAAAGAAGAACATTTCTATTCTTTTAGTCTACAATAAAATGGACTACTTTCACTAACTGATACTAAATGCCACATAATCTCCTGCTCTAGCATTGCCTGTTAATATATCTGAAGGGGAGAATATTGCTACGTATTAACAGATTGTTATATTTTTTATAAAAATATATCTTAATACAGCTACAGAATGAGAAAAGCCAAATTACATGAATTTTAAAACATATACTTTTAATATAATATCAGTATAAAGAAAAACATAATACAAATATGAACAGTGCAAATATTTCCTTAAAACTTCTTGAAACTTCATTCTGATTGGTAAAAAGCACAGTGAACTAAGGTGAAAGTATTCAGCAACCTTCCTTACTGCTTTTTACTTTATTAAAATGATCAAAATGACTTTTAAGGGGGCCCTGCCTTTTTTTATGAGCCAAAATATCTTTTGGTCCTTAATGATATGACTGCGGCTCTCAAGCTATAGGGGGCGGCCCCTTTGGAACTGTATTAAAGGGCCGCGGCATGAGGAAGGTTGAGAACCACTGTGCTGTGAGAACTAGGGACAGAATATACAGTCGGAGATTCTTGTTAGAAGAGAATAAGTCATTACCACAAATATAAAAACATTTTAACATTGATATGAACATTCTCTAATTCACAATAATAAAAATGACAGAATGAAAGAAAAATTTAAATAGTAGCATGATTTAATCAGAATGGAAAAAAGAAGACTGCCATGTTCCAGGGTCTAAAAAAGTTAGCAGCTGTTAAAAAGGAATACTGAACTATTCTGTAAAAATTTGAGCAAACAAAAATTTTACAAATAAAATTTCTTTTATTCATTTCATCTTGGTACTCATATTTATCTGTGTCCAAGAGTGGCCCCACCATGGAACAAATTTAAAGCTTAGTTTCTATTTTATACGTTCTAAAAGAGCCAGAGTTTAGTAAGTTACAGGAACCAGAAACTCCTCTCACTCCCAAGAGTCATTAATTTCTTGAAGTGAGAAGAAGAAATGAAGGAAAATTGTTCTTATCATACACTCCAAAGATGTAGCAACATAGGAGTTTGAGTTTAGAAAACTTCACACTCTAATTTCCATGACTGAAAACCAATAAATTGTGTGAATCTTTTTTTTCCATCTGGAGCTGGCCCTGCCCTTGCCTGGTCATTTCATTCCTAGAGCAAAGCAGTTTTCTAGACCCTGTTGTGCATATGAGGAAGCCAGACACTGAGAATGACGCTGAGAAGTGACAGAGGTCGGGAGAGATGATTAGGATGCCAACGATCAGTGTGGTTTCCGCTCATTTAAAAAGCATCACATGATTGCTGAAAGCTTATGGGGGGGAAGTCACAACTGAACAGTGTTGAGTCTCATGGCAAAGTTTGGAGAGACGCAAGAGAGATTGGGGAAAGCAGCTGACAGTTCTTCTCAACAAGAAAAGCTGAAAGACCACATGCTAAGAATTACCTTACTTGATCTTTTCCAACTCTTCCTCATTAGCATTGTCTGTGGATGAAACAAAGCATTTTCATTATCTTTTCACTCAAGTAGAGAACAGGGCAGCCAATTGTTTTCTAGAGAAAACGTAACATCCGCCAGCCCTTGAAACAAGCAGCAACTACACGAGACAATTGCTTTTCACGCACACAGGGCTGGAGAAGCGACCTTCACACTCGAGCAGTCTTTCTGGTGAGAGTTAATTTGCTTTATGCCTTTGTTCAAAGAAATGGAATGGCATATTTTAAACAGAATGGACAATTAGAATACCTTGATCATTCACTGAAAAAAAGTACATTGAGTGTCATGATTTGCAACTGTTCCTTCTGGCGGTGGGGGTTGAGGATGGACGTGGCTTTATCAGGTATGTACTAATTTCTCTCCTCACACATTCAAAGTCTTTTGCTTGGGTGGCATCTTAGGACTGTCTCTGTTTCAGTTAGTCTTTAACTACATCAGGATCTACAAGCAGATTCAATTGAAAAAAAATGCCTCATGCTGTGGTGGCCATTAGTACATTTTCCTACGAAATGTTTAGCTGGAACACATCCTATAAACTAGTTTATTTGTATCATAGTAAGAGGTATTTTGGGATAAAAGTTTTAAATAAGATTCTGGAAATTGGTGGTAAGTACCCAAGATCATTAGTCTCTTTTATAAAGGAAATCATAAAAGCTAAAGATTTTTTATTTCCTCTATTCATTTCTAAAAATTTCTCGGTGACCACTGAGATATTAACCTTTCTGTTTGACCTCTTGACTACATCTTAGCTTTACCATTATCTGTAAGGTAGATGAAGAATAGGAATATTTGGGACAAAGCTTTTAGAAATGCTGGTCTGATTTGTGCATCAGGGAATTGCGCTGACGTTTTACAGACCTGTGGCGTCTTCAGGAGATTCACTGCAAAGAAGGGCAATTTCAGAAACTACTCCCCAAAAAAGTTTTACTATCAAATGAAGGCAATCTTTTGCCTAAACCAAAATAGAGGAATTATGTGGACATTCTAGGATATGAAATTAAAAAGTCACAAAATTGTCAAAGATAATAATACAGTCCTCTTTCCTATAGGTATTTTTTAGGGTATATTTTCTTTCTATACACTCTCTGTGTTAAATGTTGACAGATACATGGAAGAGTAATAGATTTCCTAAGGTTACAGTAATTCCCTCTCACTTCTTATATTTTTCTTTTCAAATAGATCCAGGAAGCTGTAAAGCATTTTTATCAAATATCATGGAGACATTTTATATTTTCAAAGTTCTAATGTCCAATTCATTTTGAAGCAATAAATCCCTCCACTGGGTTGTGGATATGGACACCCAATAGACATGTTTGCTGTTGATCCCAAATGAGCCATTATCATCGGTGTCATCAGCACTGCCACCACCACCACCACTTCCTCCATCCTTGCCAAAACGCAATTGGAAACCAAAAGCTGTCAGGATATGCCATATTCACAGAAACTGCCACATTAAGAATCAAATATTAAAGCGTCAACTTTCTCAGAAAGCAGAGTTTCAATGGACAAAGAATGGCAATTCCTAGATTCAATGTTTCCATTCAAATCAAGTGAAAACAATTAAGATAAATAAAGAAATAAAACCTCTTAATCCATGATCATTTATCATCATCATCTAGCTTAAGAATCTTATAAAATCCCATTCACGAGAAATGTTCTGCTATGAGAAACGGATTTTGAGCTTTAGAAAGAGTGGAATCTCATGACAACACTAGTTAATATCATGAAAATTTGATACTGGTGGTGAACTTCACATCCCCTGACTCAGAAGCACTGCATAGAAATTAACTTTCTGTATGAAAAACAACATACAGGGCTAGTATTATTCCTGATTCTCAAAATCAGCTTTATAAACAGGTTGCATGGTTTTGATTTTCAGACTAGGAAGCTCATGCAAGCAAAAAGTCAGTGATTTCCTGAAGTATAAAGATGCAAGATCTGGCAGTTGTGAGAGTCAGTATCTAATTATTTTCCTGATTCAATATCTAATCTATGAATAGATTCAGTGACTCTCAACATGGGCCTCTACTTTATAAAAAAATCTCTGCCTCTTGAGCCAAATCTATTAGCTAAGCAATGAGTTAAGCATCCCACTTCAAGTCCATTTGCCTTTCAGGTAGTTGGTTTGAGGTGGATTTACTAAAACTGAAAATAGTAGAAAAGTTTTTAAAAAATAAATTTAACAGATACACTATTGATACTGTTACCTTTACTATACAAGAGGCATGTTAGAGAAGAAAGATTGGTCGGAGAACTTAAAGAGAGGAGATGAAGCAAACTCTAGACAAATAAAATTTATTTTTTTCTCTGTGATCTAACTTCAGCTAAGAAACATATGAATTCTTTTTTGAAAGTGTATTATTAGATATTATTATAGCACAGTTCAAATTTGTCATTAGCAGCTCAACTTTCTTGAAGCCAATGAAAGGAATAAAGTAGCATAAAAATATGGCCTGTGATAGAGCAGTAGCAGTGATTGTTTCTACAAGATTATACAATCTCTGGTGGCGCCCGTAGCTCAGTGAGTAGGGCGCCGGCCACATACACCGAGGCTGGCAGGTTCAAATCCAGCCTGGGCAAACTAAACAACGATGACAACTGCAACAACAACAACAACAAGATTATATAATCTTAATCCATTTTTTACTGTATTTTTTTGTTGTAGTGATTTTTTTGGCAATTATATAGCTGCTATACAAAAACAAAATATCATAGGATGGTTAGATATTATTACAGTATATATATCTTACAAAACATACATATTCAACTTTTTTAGGTGGATATTTCTTCAAATGTTGACTGTGTAATAATTCTGAAAAATATAAAAATTAAACCAAGATGAAAAAATGTTTTAATTCCTTAAAGACCAACAAAGGCCAATTCATATGTTTCTTTGAATTGTCAGTTTTTTCGCCTTTGCTAAGCAATTTGTAGGTCTATGTTATTTAAGAGAGTGTGTAACACAAATTAACTCACTTTTATTTCACAAATTCTCCAATGAAGAAAGCTGTGGATTGAACTCTGCTAGAAAAAGAGCCAGAAAGAACTCAAATACACCATTAAGACAAAAATGACATATATAGGACAGACATGGACACACCACACACACCTGCAGGTTCAAAACAGTACATGCAGTAAGACCAGAATCGACAGTTATGCCATGCAACTCATCAGCATGCCCCAGGAAAGTTTTGGTTTCTTGTACACACAATGCTGGAAACTTTAAAAAAAGTATAGATATATAGATCTATGTATCTGTTCACATCTGGGATTTCTCAAAAAGGATCACAAACTCAGTGAAGAAGATTTTTACAACTGCACTTGTTATCACTTCTACTATGCTTCTAAAGTTACCGGAATTGGATACTGTGTGCTTTAGACTAGAGGTTCTCAACCTGTGGGTTGTGACGCCTTTCTGCACATTAAAGGTTCGTGGCATTAGGAAGGTTGAGAACCACTGCTTTAGACTCAGAGGCTCCGTAGATTCAGTAGCCTGACGGGGTTTTCAACTCACTCTGCAGTTTTACTGATTTCCGGAACTGGTAATCCATACGAGGAGAAATTCTCCCAACTGCACTACTCATGGAATGTTCATCAGTAATACGTGCATAAAAAACTCACAAGATAACTGACTTAGAAATCTTAGCTTTTTTGTAAGGCTAGGTATTTCCAGTTCTTCATTTCTTCTTACTTTTTTACAGCATTTTTCTTCAAATGAATGTTCTATTTCCTACTTGATGGTTAGCCTTTATCTGTTAGAAGCTCTTGAAACTCATCTCTTCATTCTCCATTTTAATACACATAAAATATTTAGCAAAATCTTATTAACACAGGCATAGAATAAACATAGTTTATGAACTAATGTCTTCAGTCCTGAAAGCTTAAAATAAATTATGTCTGAGGTAGTAATCAAAGACAATAGACCTTTCCTTACGATTTTGCTACGTGAGGGTCAGTGCAACATTGTCCCCTTCCTTCCTGTGCATCACCCTTAATTTGGGGGTACTGAAGCCCCCAGGAACCGATTTCTGATTTGCTGCAGTTTTAGCTTGAATCTCTCTAAATAAGATTGGTTGCTGGATAGCTTGTGAAAGTTCAGCCTCAGTATGCCAGTCTCACCGCACAGTGTGTGATAGATAGATTTTAGACATATGAAAATTTAATTTGAAGATACATTGGCTCTCTGATTGATTTTAACCAAGAAACTTCAAATGTAGCCCAGAGAAATATATTTAGCTGATAGAAGACATGTCAGAAAGCGGAAAAAATTGTAAATGTCTTTACAATTAGTTAAAGAATTCCTTGAGAGGAGCAATGAGGCTTGATTTTAAGCAGATTATCATTAATACATTAAGTTTAAGAACTTATAAAAGAAAAATTAAATCATAACTTAATCACAATTCAATATTGTTTGTGAGAACTTCAGAGACTTGAACACTGAGGTATGAAAAACAGCTTAAAAACCTTCCCCTGGGCCTTTGAAGCATCCTGCGAATCTCTGCAGAGAGAAGTCTGCAGACAGCTGGACCAGGTTTGAGAGACTTCGTCATAAGGACGGGCTTGAGATCTCCCCATGACGGGATGGAGGGAAGTGAAGGACGGGCACATTTCAGGCAGACAAACGGCACAGAGAAAAGCCAGGACATGCAAGCTGGTGAACTGTGGAGGCTGGACAGGGTTTACAGGGAGGCCACAAATGCTGCTTAGTGGAAAGTCTCAAAGTTCCTTGGGAGGAGTTTCTGCTTAGTTAATGAAATAGTCACAGCTCACTAACCCTGGGAAGAGAAAGAGGGAGTCCCGGAACCTGGAAGATCACTTATTGATCAATAAGTGTGTTTTTTTTTTTTTTTAATTGAGACTTATGAATTGAGACTAAAAACCAGTGTTGAAAAATCTAATAACTAGTTGTAGAGAACTTAAAAGAATAGCTATAGAACTACTATAAAGGACAAACAAACAAAGAAAAAAAACAGTAAAAAGTCAATTTATATGTATTTGTTGGGAATTTTCATAATGTAAAGCATACATTTAGAAACCCAGATTCAAATCTAGGCCGTCAGAATAGCAGGATACTGTGTCCCCGTAGAATTTCCTATGGGGACTCATTCAGCCTCCCTCCTCTTTTGGTTGGCTCAGCTTGCACCTCTACAACCAAGCCTCTTCCCCGCTCACACCTGCAAGGATGACCCAGGATGGCATCAGCCACCTGCCTGCTCAGGTGTGACGGAGGTCAGGATGGGAAGGGCGAGGGTGCTGACCAGACAGAGGCTGGCTCCATGCCGACTGCGGTCACCGTGCCTTTCTGAGCACTGGCTAAACACTTGCTTCTCTGAGGATGAAGAAAGAAGCCAGGGAAGAGTCAACAGTGGATGGCAAAGAAGGCACCAGGGCCCAGTTAACTCAGCAGCGCAAAGTCACTGCTCGCTGGGACTCTGAGGGGAAGACGAGTGAGGCGCTGCAGGAAAACACTTGGTCAGAAAGGCTTTCCTCCGAAGTGTCTGGGCAGTCGAGGGATGTGAGCGAGAAAATGGCATGAGGACTTCAGGAGGATCTTTTTGTGTGGAGGGTGAATGTGGCTGGAAAGATTTGATGAGGAGAAAGGAAAAGGAACAAAAGCAGGTGACGGAAGCCAGACATGACGTGTAACTTACTGGTGATCAGTAATTTAAATAATTTTAAATTACTTGTTTCTAATTAGAAAGACATTGTGCCTAAAAAATAAGGCTGCACAGCCATTGAAGTTAAGGATTTTTGCAAGAATTTTTGAAGAAAAAATCACATTGAGAACTACTTCGCCTGTGCTGATGTAAGTTTCTATATAATTTAAAACTCAGCAGCTTCATCGTAAGGTTTTCTGATATTAACTTGTTCCCTCAAACCCTCAGTTTGATGTTAAAGCATTTTGTAAATGTAATGTAAAATTTTAGTAGACAATCCCTCACCAAATCACCCAAATAGCCATGACAGCTGCTATATCATTTCAATCTCCAAAATATTGTAAGTGAAGATGCTTTGGGAATACACAGAACCTCAGCATTTTATGAAATGCTGCCCTTCATTACAATAACAGTGACCCTCAGGTTAAGGACAGTCTATCACCACGTTTTGCTGATTTCACCTCCTGTAGGTAAACGAGCTGATTTCCCTCCATCTCTACCTCTGACAGTTCTAGTCCAAACCCCAGTCATCTTCCTCTGGATTTTTATGTGTCCTCTTGTCTCTGTATATTCATTCTTAGCCTTTTAATCTGTTTTCTACAACACAGCTACAGAGATATTTTCAAAGACAAATACGATTATGCTCCTTCCTATTTACAGTCCTCTCAGTGGCTCCCACTGCTCTTTGGGAGAAGACCACAAACTCTAACATGGCCAACAGGCTCGACACAGTCTGGGCTTGTCCCTTCCACTCCAGCAGCTCTAACCACCTGCACCCTTTGCGTCCCCTTTCTCTAAACTCTAGGACTTTCCAGTTCCTGGGATATAGCACACTTTCTCTACTCACAGGGCCTGGGCATGTGCTGTCTCCTCTGCTTGAACTGTTTCCTCTCTCCCTGGTTTTAATTCCTACTCATGCTTTATACCGCAGCTCCCATTTGACTTCCTTGACAGAGAATCCCCGTCCCTCTGACTGGAACACATTTCCTGTTGCTCTGTCAGCATCGTGCCCCCTCCTTCACGGCTCTGAAGCCGTTGTCACTGTACATTTCTAACAGTGTCTGGTGGATTCTGGGCTCCCCACTGTATCTAAGTTCCCTTGTATCTAAATGACTAGCACAGGAATTGCTTATAGTAGATTTGTGATAAATACCTGGATTATTTGAATAAAACACAAAGTAAACATATGTAATGTATTCCTGTGTATGGATCAGCCAGCTAGGATATGCATCTGGGCTTAGCTGGATGGAATAATACCTTCTGACCTGGTGACGTCTAAAATGATGGCTTCCATTTCTACATAGTATTTGTGAAAAGGTTTCCTTGCCCACCCCTTTGCATAAGAGTGCATCTGCACACGTATGTACATCATTTCACTGTGCTAAGTCCTCATACTAAGTATTATTATTTATTTACTGCAATTTGTGGCCAGGGCTGGGATTGAACCTGCCACCTCTGGTATATGGGGCCAGCACCCTACTCCTTAAGCCACAGGCGCCCACTAGGTATTATTATTATATTTGATAATATTTGTTGGAAAATAGAAATTTCTTCCTTGGTGAATAAAGTACAGGCACTTAACCCATATTTAGCAAATATTATGTATGAATCTACATATTCATACTTTAATTTTTTAAAGGAATAAATAGAAATACTTCTTGAAAAGTTTCAGTGAGTTTAAAGTGCTTCTAAATCTGAAGTTGAAATTCACTATATTTACCTATAATCTAGAGAAAAATGTTAATAATAGCCTTTCCACAAACAATATATAATCAACTTTAATCATGCATTATTTTAAGGCAACAATATATATACAGTGCTGAAATAGAGTATTTGAAGTTGCCTAAAAAAATTGTCTCTACTACTAAAATATGTTACAATCAGACCTAGAATAGTTCCCCGGTACATGAAAACACACTGCGTCTAATAAATAATCTCTGGTCAATTGTGGCACAAAGTGCAGTGGCAGCATACCGATGCGGGCCAGGCCTGAGGTGTTCACTGTCAGTCGGGGCCTGGGAGTAACTGGCTTGTCCGTCTCTCACAGCAGCATGGTGTGCCAGGAAGCACAGACAGCTAGTGCTGAAAAATGGGCAAGACCCATGTGGAGCCCATCAGAAAGAGGCAAAGTACTCGCTTAGCATTCAGCAAACAAGTACCAGAAAGCAGAAACTCTGTTATAATTTCACCCAATTTTCTTTGTGACGTTTCACCTGACAAAACCGTCAAAACAGCAGGGCCCGCATACCTCAATGTGGGATCCTAAAGATTCAAATCACTAGTAAATGTATTCCCTGAATGAATACTAATATTTGCCTATAATATAACACATCTGAAATTGAGAAATAAAGTTAAAGTAAAAGTTGCAAATCTGTTTCTTACGCATAACAAGAGGTTCTGATCTGGAGCGAGGGGCGGGAAACTTGAGTTGAAAAGATGGAAGCACGACCAGCCACACCCAGGTACTCACAGAAACAGTCCAGGCCCGATTCTCATGTGCAGCTTCTCTTTACTATCTGTGTCCAAAGAAGGCTCACAACAGCGAACAAGGAAGAGCAAGAAGGAGCTCCTGCTCGGTTGTGGAGGAACTTACCACATCCCTGGACGTTCCTTCTTTAGGGGTAAGAACCACAGAGAGCAAAATGATCCCAAGATCATGGTCGGGATAATGGGGATCCTTCAGAGTGAGGGTTACATCTGTGGGCCTGTCACAGAAAATAAACAGTTATTAGATGAAGAAGCAAAAATACATTTTTATAAATAATTATTATTTTAAGAAGAAAAAAGCAATTGTGCTTTACTTCCTTGGTACAATTTTGGTTGTTATTAAAATATCACCAATGTATTAAGTTACCCACTAAACTGTGAGCAAGGGTCTATCTGAATTCACTGGATGAAATTCTGCCCATCATGGGACTCTAGAAAGTTACTATGAAGAAATGACAACCCTATTGAGTAACCCATTAGGCTGTTTTCTTTGATCTCTAAATCCAAACAGAGTAGATGCAGCTATAGTTTTACAAATTTGAGTCCAGCCACTGAATGAGGGTCACTTGTTGACCACTTAGCTTGCTTATAATTCTTCAGGAATTTTTTTAAGCAGCAATATTTTAAAGTAAACAAGTGAATGGGGAAAGAGGAAAACATAGATTATGATTTGCCTGATATGTATTATAGACATACTTTAAAAATAATGTGCAATCATTTAAAAGAACACCCAATATTTAAAGCAATACTTCTATTTTTGTCTATTTAAATCTATGCCTAAACAATTTTTAGATTCTGAAAGACAAGGAAATCAATAGTTATGAGTTAGCTAACACAGGCTTTGGAACTCAACAAGCATCTCCGAGAAAGAGACTATGAATAACTCAGTATTATTCACAATTATTTTTTGAAAACAACGCCAAATGTGCATTGAACTGACAATGCATGGGTGACATCTTGCTTGGGTACTCTGATTAATATAGAACAAATAGGCCCCCCCCCCCCGCTTATGGTTTGTACCTAGGTGTCTGGGGAACAGCCAGCTCTAAGCAATACATCTTGAAATGTTGGTAAATTAGGAATGTTCCTTTGTTCAGTTGTTCATTCATTTCAGTTACAAAAAGTGTGTTAAACATACATTAAATGCCACACACTGTGCTAGGTTCTGGGTAAAAATCTGAGGCTGTGACCAAGATTAAGATCCTTGTCTTTAGGCTTGGCACTTGTAGCTCAGTGGCTAGGGCACCAGCCACATACATCAGAGCTGGCGGGTTCAAATCCAGCCCAGGCCTGCCAAAGAACAATGACAACTACAAGCAAAAAATAACCGGTTATTGTGGAGGGTGCTTGTAGTCCCAACTATTTGGGAGGCTGAGGCAAGAGAATCACTTACACCCATAAGTTTGAGGTTGCTGTGAGCTGTGATGCCACAGCCCACTTCTGAGGGTGTGACATAGTGAGACTCTGGCTCTAAAATAATGATAATAATAATAACAATATCCTTGTCTTCATGGAGCTTAACTTGTAGGATATGACACAGCTGAATTCCAGTTCTAGAGAGAGGTTTTGGCGGGGACAAGAACCTTCGATCTTAGCTGCACGTCAGAATCAACTGGAGAGCACTTTTTAAAACATCATTTTCCTGAACTCTCCCTGATAACTGGTTCTACAGATCAGGAGTAGGGTCTGGAGTCTCTGTTTGTTTTTTTTTTTGTTTGTTTGTTTGTTTGTTTGTTTTTTTGTAAAGCTCCCAAATCATGTCCTTAAATGGCAAAGATTGAAAATCAGAGGTACTTTTCTTTCTTTCTTCTTTTTCTTTTTTGAGACAGTCTCACTGTGTTGCCCTCGGTAGAGTGCCATGGCGTCATAGCTCACAGCAACCTCAAACTCCTGGGCTTAAGAGGTCCTCTTGCCTCAGCCTCCTGAGTAGATGGGAGTATAAGCACCTGCCTATTTTTTGGAGACAAGGTCTTACTCTTGCTCAGGCTGGTCTCAAACTCCTGAGCTCAAGGGATCCACCTATCTTAGCCTCCCAGAGTGTTGGGATTACAGGCATGAGCTGCTGTGCTCAGCCTCACAGGCACTTTTCAATGCTAAGATTTTACAGTACTTGAAAGTCTTTCACAGGATACTTATTTGACTAAATCAAGGCATGATACCATAAAAAGTATGAAAAATGTTTTGGTGTCAGGGGTCTGAAGTGAGCCATAAGGAACCTGTCAGACTGTCATTATACATTAATTAAAATAGTTGTGAGACAAATTGCTCTAATGTTAATTTAGTTATAACTAATCATGGTTTGATTGTAACAACTTATTCCTTTTATTTTAATAAATACATATTGGGGGTGGCACCTGTGGCTCAAAGAGTAGGGGGCTGGCCCCATATACCAGAGGTGGTGGATTCAAACCCAGCCTTGGCAAAAAAAAAAAAAAAAAAAAAAAACAACTGAAAAAAAAACATATTGGGCATTCTAGCATATATATGTCTGTTATATGTGTGTGTGTGTATATCATTAGTCAACACTTCATTGCATTTTTAAATAATTACATGATAAAAATTTAAGAATATTTGTAATTGCTTTATGTTATATCTTTTATTTTCTTTCAAAAGGATACTTTAATGTAGTATATAGTAGCATAAGTATTTATATGACTACTACTATTATTCATTTTTCTATACCCAAAGACTACTGATTATACAGACAATGAAAGCGCATATTCAAAAATGTGGTTTTAAAAAGTGTAATTTGCTATTTATGTGGTTTCGAGAGATGAGAATTATTAATACATAAACTATTTAATGTGGTAAAATACACACTAAATGCTTGTATCTAATCTGTTTTAATTTCCAAAATTAGTCCATATTTTTCCTTTAAATTATTTTTCACAAATGATGTATCTTTAATAGAGAACAAAAGACAATTACGCTTTGGGGTGAAGGCCAGCAATTTGCACACAAAGGTCTACAGAGAAAGTAATTGTGGCCTTTCTGGAAGAACAGCACAGTCCACTCGGTTGAGCTCCATTTCAAGGTAATGGACTCCATACAACAGCACTGAGGCACAGCTGCTTTCCTGGGAGGTCTGTGCAGAGAGGTGTGAGCTGGAGCTAGACTGCAGGCCAGAGCCAAGGGCATGCAGGCAGGACAGGGAAGGCTGCTCTTTTGTCCAGTCAGAGGCTGGAAAAAGTGACCATTGCAAGACCAGCTGGCTGCCACTGTGCTCAGACTTTGTGACTGAAACACGGAAGGGGCTGCTCTTTCTATTTCTCTACTTATCCACATGCACAGAAATACGAAGTCGCGTCTGGACCACCGCTCTGCTTGCCTGGTTTTCGCCATCCCTGCTGCAGGATGTGTTATAGGACAGCATGGTTGTCTAGAACAGACTGGAATTCCCTCTCCTTAAAACCATTAAAGATTTCACAGCCTCCTCTGCAACCCATTCTCGTCCTGCTGGACCTTTTAAAAAACTGTTATTTCTCTTCTATAATGCAAATGAATTCATACCTCCTATACAAAAATGCATTTTGAAGAATAAAATCCCCTTATTTGGTATAAGGAAAGACTAATTCTGATGATCATAATGTAACTTTGCAACCCATCCAGGAATAATAAATAACATAACTGAGCAAATACAACCAATCCACATTCAAGTTAGGAACGCTTCTGGGTACACTGGTGCTGGCCAATTGGTGATGGCAAAATCAGTCTATGTTGGCTCAAGTGATAAGTGAGATGTCGGTCTTTGAAGCAAAAGTGTATACATTTTATTTCATAGACAGTAGCCTGATTCTTATATTAATAATTAAGATTGACATACGTAAGTTTCTTTATGGCCCACTATGACCATGTGACCAGGGGATATACCTTTCATCTCTAGATTCCTGGTGCCGTGGGACAGAGTAGGTGTACAATGATTGCTGTCGAATGAGGAATGAGGCAGTCACAGAAGATGCTACCTGTCTTATTCCCAGTGAGTAGACAAGAAAGATGAAGTTGAGAAAGGCTGGCTAGCACAAAGGCTCACAGTTCTAAATGACAGAACAGCAATTAGAGCCCAGAAGGGCTGAGACTTCCTTACACAAGCCCAGCTACATAACAGGTGTAGTGGTTACACCTGTTACAACAGTTACAGGTTCAAAAGTTACCTGTTTAACTCCAACTGTGTAAGATCCAGAAAGGCTGAGCCCATAAAGTCATCCTGTAGTCCAAAATCATAGTCAAATACCTAAGAAACCAAAGAGACAGGCATTGTTATAAATAATTCCAATGTAAGTTTTAAATGATAACGTTTTGATTAGAAAATATTGGTTGTGGCTCGGCACCTGTGGCTCAAGCAGCTAAGGCGCCAGCCACATACACCTAAGGTGGCGGGTTCGAATCCCCAGCCCAGGCT